AAACATGAAGAAAACATGTAAAAAGAATGATATCAAACTGGATATATGTATTTGAAGAGTAATTTGGCATAGATTTATATTTAAATGTTAAATTTAGTAAAATGGCAAGTGTTTGGTCGATAGAAAATGTCCAGAGATGATACGTTAAAGAGAAGACCGAAGAAAGTGAAATTGAAAATGTGGCAATGTTAAAGAAAAGAGTCGTAACGATTTGGAAAACCATAAGACCTTCAATGTGTTCAAAATTAAGGAATTCGATTCCAAGAAGATTACAACGTCTAATTGATAAACGAGGATATCCGATCAACAAGAGAGATTCTAATAACACGAAACTATAAAATTGTCTGTAATTTGTGGTTCCATTTGTAGTGAAAAGTGATTGTTGTATATATTCGTTGTGAATAACAATATTGAGTTTTAGTTTGAGAACATGAGAAAAGCAATATTTCTAGGATATTACCCTATATATCTCTCCCTTATTAGTCGGGATAAAGATATGGAAACTTAGGGTAATATTCGCCTAGTTACAAGAGATTAGATATCGAAGTTTGAGCGTTTTGGGATATGTTATAAGAGAGAAAGAGCAATTTTCCTGACAGGGCCTAAGACTTTTGGCTCATCCTTTAGTAAACTATTACAAAGATAAAACTATAACCCATTTTGATTCATTTTCGAATAGATAAGTCAATGATTGTTTATGCAATCATTTCCGTTACAGTTTATTTTGAGTTACGAGTGTCAATGTAATCTTTCAATTATGACCACTCACATCTACACCTTTATTATTTTGTGCATAGAGTTATGGATTAATGAAAAAGATAAAAATCTTTTCATAGAAAATAAAAACTATGGATGTAATTTTATTCGAAAATTTTCTGAACTACATGGAAGTCAAACGCGAATGGAATATATTTTGTGGTATAAATTGTTTGTTTCATATATTTTTTTTTCTTTAATTCAAATGATATTGTGGTTGAACCAGTGGAAAACGATCCGAGAATATCATCAACGGATAAGTCAAAATCAATTTGTGTTTGATCATCATCCAATGCTATCAACTCATACATGTTTATATTATCTTCTGATATGTGTAATTTCTCCATTGTTTCTTTAACGATGATCATTATTATTGTATCTTTATGGCATGGTAATATAACCGTTTGATTATCATACATGATAGAGCAATGTATAGATGCTTCAGAAATTATTTTAAATTGAACTTCAGTCATATTTTCATCAATATCTTCTAAACAGACATCATCATCATCCAACGTAGTTTCATTCATAATTAAACAATAATACTCTCTTTTCAAGCAGAATAGTTGACATGCAATTCCATAGAGACGCTTTATTGTTATCGAAAGTCTACAATTGAATTGAATTGACTTATTTACTTCAGTATTTTTTATAGTAACAGTAATTGGTAAATTTTGATCAATGGCAATAAATTGAATTAATGATTCTGATTGAAATGTTATTAATTGGATGTCAGTTGATGGAACAATATCATTTGAATACAAAAGATATTGATGTAAAATATCTTGTTGATTTTCTTTATTAACATCAGCAATTGTAGCACAAACAATAAATCGTTGATATTTTTCGTTTTCTTCTTCAGTAACATGAATAGGTTGTAAATCATTCGATTTCTTAATCAATACAAGACACATTTCATTTTCTTTAATAAGAATAAATTTTGTTTTATTTAAATTTGAAAGTTTTTCATTAGAATTAAGAATTCGTTTTGTATCATTTGTAGCTAAATATTTATAAATATCTATTGATTTTCTTGTTAAATGTAATAATTCTTCAATAGTTATATTTCTATTTAATAAAGGAACTTTTATTTGTTCTTCATCGTCATATTTTGTTATTTGTACTAAGGTCATTATTTGAAAATGAATGGGCTCATTTTCAGTAATTGAATAAGTATCTATAGATTTTTGAAGATCTTCTTTTGTTAATATATGTTCATTGCTTCCTTTCACGACAAGAAGACAATCATCAAAAGATAGATCAGTTAAATTTAAGTATTCAAGAATATTTTCGTTATTTAATAAAGAAGAAATTTTCGTTGATTTTAAAGCATAATTAGAGTAATTATTTGTTTCAAATGTAAACTGAACTTTAGTTACAATATTTCGATTAATAATATCGATTATCATTGATTATG